GCTTTATTATTGTTCTAGACAACTTAACGAAATGAAGAAGCTTTTTAAAATAAATGCTTGATCTGAAGAGGCCTAGTGCTCTTGTATCTTCTTTCAAATAGCACAGGATAACGTATACTTCCAGAAAGCCACATCAATTTTAACAGCATCTGTACAAGTATAGTCTGAAATGTAACAACCACAAACTGTTTGCTGTTTGCTGCAAGGAGGCAAATTGCTGGGATTATAATTTATAAATCAATACACAATTTATAACCTCAGATTTGCTACTTATATTGCTTTACACGGACTGTGTGAGACCCCTCTCATCTACCCTCTTGAGTTTGAGAAACTCTTAGAAAACATTCTTGCGTAATCACCTCCAAAGAGTCAGATTTGTTCAGAAAAATCACCCTCCATTCAGCAGCTGTCCCTCCAGCCTCAGCACTCAGTGCCCCATGGCCCATCCACTGGCCATTTCCCAGGGTGATTTCTAGAAGGACGCTGTGTGGGTCTCCTCTTGTGATGGCCATTTTCACCCTATTCTCTTGGGCGAGGCCCAGAGACGTAAGATAAGGCCAAGCATGACTGAAGCTGATTTCCAGGTTGCATGCTGTGTGGTTACACAGCGGAGCAAAACTACTATTCGAAAAGATTTCCCTTATTACACTGGGCCCCGAGTTGTTAGCCACATCTGGTCCATGGAGCAATGTTCTTAGTGATGCCTACAAGAGAAAAGAAAGAATCAAAATGTCAGCTTAGCTTTTTTCCGGTATAAACAAATAGATAAATTGTGTAAGTGAGCCAGTCAGTCTATCTCTGAACCTAAAGTTAGTGAGACTATTTTCATGGTCGGTAACCCTTTCATAGTATGGCTGTGAAAGTTGGACATTAAGGAAGGCTGAGTGCCAAAGAATGGAGGCCTTTGGACTCTGGTGCTGGAGAAGACTCCTGCGAGTCCCTTGGACTGCAAGGCCATCCAACCGGTTGGTCCTAGAGGAGATCAACCCTGGCTGCTCTTTAGAAGGCCAGATCCTGAAGGTGAAACTCAAAGACTTTGGCCACCTAATGGGAAGGAAGAAAGACTCCCTGGAGAAGAGCCTCATGCTTGAAAAGATGGAGGACAAAAGAAGAAGGGGATGACAGAGGTGGCTGGATGGAGTCACTGAAGCAGTCAGCATGCGCTTAAATGGACTCCAGAGGATGGTAGACGACCGGACCATGGCCCATGAGGTTGTGATGGGTTGGACATGACTTCGCAACTAACAACAAAACCCTCCATATTTATCATTGCCCAAATTGGGAGAAAAACTCTTGTACCTCTAAAGATTGATTTGCCAACTGGGTTTGAAGTGCTTCTGGATGCAACTTCTCAACTCCAAATATGACACTAATCTTCTGGTTGCCCCCTTGAAGATCCACAGTTAGTCTCTGGTAAGTACTGTTGTGAGCATACATGGCCTTGGTGCTACTTTCCTTGGGAAGTCCTAGAGAAGACAATGGAGAAGGAGACAGTTGAGTGGAGAGCTCAGCTTCCTGGCATGAAGGTTTTTCTGAACCAACCAACAAAAAGTCAAGGGTCCTTGTGGATAAGACAAAGTCCAATCCTTAAAATGTTCTGACCCAGCTCCCCAAACACAACAAACCCTCTGAAATAAACTCAAAAGATTCATTTATTAGGAGCGCCACCAGGCTAACAAGTCCATCCATCCTAGAGATGAATAGTTGTCTGCCACATCTATTCATCTCCGCCCACTGTCTTTTATCTCCAGAACTAGGACGGGGCCTTGCTAACAGTGGTGGCTCTTCCTTCCCAAGGACCAGCCCATAGATTTCCACTGCTCTCCTCTCCTCTGCCTTCTGTGCATCAGGCACAGGGCCCTGCTGTTCCCCCTCTTCCTAAGCCACCTCCAGGCCTGGGGGCTGTTAACTGTCCATCTGAGGGCTGACTGACAGCCCAGGCTCCACCTCCCCCCTCCTCTCTCTGATAGCTCCATTTCCTCTTTCCCCCTCGGAGCTCTCGGGTTGCCTTGAAGCTGACCCTGACTTCCATGCCGCCACCTCCTCCTCCTCTTCTCCTTCTTCTTCTTCTTCTTCCTCCTCCTCCTCCTCCTCCTCCTCCTCCTCCTCTGATTTGGCTGTTGGAAGGACCGTCGGTCAACAGGCCACAACACAATGATGGATTAATCTTTAAATTCCAATGTAAAGGTAAAGGTTCCCCTCACACATATGTGCTAGTCAGTCCTGACTCTAGGGGGCGGTGCTCATCTCCGTTT